CCGCATACACATACTGTATACGCACTGCAGACAGAGCACGTGTGAACTTGACGCGACAAATCTAGTTCAACATCTGAGGCAGCGCCACAAAGAGCTCTATGACCAATACATGGCAAAATCCCTGGACACGGGATTTTTTTTTTCTGCCATATGTCTATTCTAGAGACATTTTGTTACACCTTTACTTAGTGACTATTTTGCCTTATGTCTGTTCTAGAGACATGTTACAGCTTTTTGATAAAGCTCTAATTGGTTTTCTTTTGGAAATATGTTTCAAATTCACACTGAATGCATTAATGACTGTAAAGCATGTCTGTGTGTGTCAAAATCGTGATTAAATTCGAAATCGCAAAATTGATCAAAGAAATCGCAATAGGTTTTTTTTTGTCCATATCGCACAGCCCTAATACACGGACTTAAAACATATATATATATAAATTGTCAGTTTGCTGGAACATTGTCAAGTAACTTATGTTTTTGCTCTTCCACAGACTGTTTCTGTGGTGGGTTCAGTGGATGGCCCCAGAGGAAGAGGCCAGATGGAAATTGGGTCCCATGACCGCCTGGATGAAGGCGTGTTAAACCAGGAACTGTCTAATGGGCTTAGCAAACATGCAACAAATGAAGAAAATATTTGTGATGAAGAAGTCAGAGGCGTGGCCAGGGAGCAACATCAGCACAACTACCACGAGGGAGCTGGATGTATTTCCCAGACACTAGGTCGGGTCCCTGAGCATGCTGGGAAGTCAAATCCTGAATCTCAACAGGGTGCTTGGAGTGGCCAAAATGCCAGTACACCAGTGAATGATGTGGATATGGAGGATGCACGAACCCTGGTGGCCTTTTCTGCTACTGTTGGCTCACTGCCACCTTTAACCAACCGTCAAACTTGTCAGACGCCTACAGCTCAGCTGTACAAAAGGTTCAATCAGGAAATGTCTAATGGAGGTGAGGAGGCCAGACAGAAAGGTGTGGATGGTGAGTTGTACCCCCCTGAAGACCTAAATACTCTTCAGGCAGCACTGAGCAAGGCCCGTCATGGCCACAAGCCCCCTAACTGTGATTGTGATGGCCCAGACTGCCCTGACTACCTGGAGTGGCTGGAGAAGCAAATCAAACTGGTGGCTAACTCCCAGGATAAAGGTTCCTGTAAGATTTCGGGTGCTCTTCCACAGCCACATACACAGCATCGTCATGCCCAATCCCAGCCTCAACAATGTGGAGGTAACCCCTCATTTGTGCAAGACACAAATCCACATCCCCATGTTAACCAGCCTTCTGCTCCTAGACCCTTTGGCCCACTAGCACCTATTCCCTGCTCCCCGAGTGTTCTGTCCATAGCCAAGGAAAGAAATGTTAGCTTGCAAACAGCAATTGCAATTGAGGCTCTGACCCAGTTGTCTGCCACTGACCCACAAACTGTTGTTCCTCCAGGTGAGTCTTCACCTGCAAATCATCATCAGCATCTGCCAACCTCCTATCCTCAGAGTATGCCACAAGTGGTCTCTACATCACCTGGTCTTCTTTTGTCCTCCTCTGCCACCTCTGCTATGACACAGTCCATCCCTCCAGGTCATTATCCTCAACAGGAGATTTCATGGGATCTGCAGAGACCTCAGTCTCAGGGGGAGTCCCCTGCACCTAACATTTTGTCTAGCCCATCTCACTATGCTTCCACATACCCATCCTCCAAGTCCCCATTTACAAGCGTACACCCATTAACCCCTAATCCCCGACCCCAGCAGTGGAACCAGGGCACAGCTGGAAGCTGCGAGAAAAGCTCCCCTCGGAACGCATGGATGATGGTGAATACTGATTCCCAGCCTCGTTTTGTAAACCCATCCAAAAGCAGTACTGACCCAGTGTCTGAGCTAAAGCAACTCCTTGGAGACACCGGTGGAAAGTACACCAACTCAGCCTTCAA